TCTTTCCCTTTTGTGGACCTAAATTAAAACTTATCCTGCACTAGGGACAATGCAGTATTCTCAGGTTCTCTGGCATTTATGCGTGTCTCTGTGTGTGTGTGTGTTTCTCTGTGTGTGTGCTCTCATGGCGACCAAGGCTCCCTCTAAGCTGTGGAGTCTTGTGAGCAACAATTCTACTTGGTGAGCTCCTGGCGTTAAAGCTGTGAGCGAGGGATTTGGCTGCTGCAGTCAGTTAGTGTGCTCTGCAGCCCCATCCTTCCTGGACCAAGACTAGAATCTGTGAGCTGGAGGCTGAAAAACTGTGAGCTGGCTCACACTGACTCAGCTGAGAGGGAACCCTGGCTGCCGCCCAGGTCTGGGAACCATCCCAGTGTGTTTGGAAGGGCTGCCAGCTCCTCCTGGGCTAAAGTGGGTGTCTGTGTGGGTGTGTGTGACAGAGATGAGGGGGGGGGGGAATCCATTCGTAACCAGTTACTAACATGGCATGGATAGGCTGTCGGGAAAGGGCCCTCACCTTGCAGGTGGGAATTAGATAGCACTGGGGCTGCATGTCACCGGTAGACTAGGAGCTTCCTAAGCTCCCCTTAACGTCAGCAGAGCATTACACCCCCAGAACCCTGGCATATCTCCAGAACATCCTAAAGAGGCCCTCATACATGAGAAACTCAGGCCTGTCCACAAACTGTCCACAAGCACCAGTGCAGCTCAGAAAGCCAAACGCAACCAACTGTCCCCACAAGCAGGGTGCTTAGGGCATCAGAGCTAGGAGATTAGGGGTTAATGCCTCACTGCAAAACACTTTGGTTGACAGGCTGCTGCCTCTGTGCGCCCCCTTCTCTCTGATTGGTCAGCGCCAGCTGAGCAGAGTTTTATAAAGCTAGCACAGCACACAGCAGCATGGGTGTTGACAGCAATGCCTGTGCAGGCTCACATCCACCCAGCACTGCACTGGCTGCCTATCGAATACTGGATCCGTTTCAAGATGTTGGTGCTTATCTTTAAAGCCCTATTGTGGTTAAGTGCGTGGACTCTCACCTGAGAGAACCAAGTTTGATTCCCCACTCCTCCACTTGCAGCTGCTGGATGACCTTGGGCAAGCCATAGTTCTGTCAGAGCTGTTCTTGAAAAAGAGCAGTTTCTGTCAAGAGCTCTCTCAGCCCCGCCTGCCTCACAGGGTGCCTGTTGTGGGGAGGGGAAGGGAAAGGAGATTGTAGGCCACTCTGAGAGTCCAAGTGACGGGCGGGGTATAAATCCAACCCCTTTTTTTCCCTCTTCTTTTCCTTGGAAGTGTCTTTCTCAAAGTAAAAATTTAAAGATACCCTCTCGCAGGCAAAAAATGTTTAGCCAGGGGTCATTTCCTGCAGGAGTGCACAGGAGCAGAGCTCCGGCAGTAAAGAGCCCAGGGGGCGGGCACATGCCACAAGCCCCACCCCCTGCTCCCAGAAGCCCTCAGTCAGAGCAAGAAGCAGCCAGGTAAGTTGCAGAGCCCCCCCTGGCCCCCCAGTCCAAAACAGTCTAGTGGCACCTTTAAGACCAAGTTTTATTCAGGTAGGAGCTCTCCCTCTGCGAGGGCAGATCTGCACGTTCCCCCTCCCTGCCCAATAGCTAGCAACCCGAAACAGTCCAGTGGAGCCTGAGCGGTGGGTGTTGCCTTCTGACACACTTCCGATTTGCCCCGCAAGAGGGACAGATCGGGGGCGCATCAAGCACACCGCAACATCTGGGAAGCATCACGCACCCATCCCCGATCCGTCCCTTCGGCCCGAAAATGCACATTTAAAAGGTACTAGCAACAGAGCACTACCTTCCGGATGATGTGCGGCAACTCCAGGCGTCTGGTCGGGGAAGCGCTGGTAGCCCGTCGCAGCCAGCGCCGTTCCCCATCCCACGCATGCGCACAACTGTGCTACTGCCGGTTTGCTGCACAACATTTGATCAGCTGCCAGAGCATAGAGCCGTGGGGGCACGTCAGATTGCACTCCCGCGGTTCTTTTTGCTCCGGCTCTAATTTGCCTCCTTTTGGCAGTGGATCATCCCGCTCGTTTGACCGGGATCAAGGATGATCAGGGGCCTGGGGACCAAGCCCTACGAGAAAAGTAGGGTTGCCAAGTCTGGCCCACAAGCCGGCGGTGGACTTACAAGGAGGCTCGAAGAGAGGGGAGGGAAGAAGCGTGACGTTCCTATGCCCCCTCCAGGTGACGTACACGTCAGGGATGTCAGTGACGTGCCTACATCACCCGAAAGTGACATACACATATTGGTGACATCGTGGGGGCTACACTCTGTTTTGGGGGCAAAACTCTATGGTTTGAAGCTAATTCTACCATAGAGTTTTGTCCAGAGTGTCACCAGATGTTAGGCACTTTTATGTAGTGGCCCATCACTTGTGGCCCCTCATGGATCACTGCCTTGTCGTGGCGAGGGGGCTTGCGCAGTTCAATGAAGCTGTGGGCTATGCCGTGAAGGGCCACCCAAGACGGACAGGCCACAGCAGAGAACTCAGACCAAGCGTGATCCACCTGGAGAAGGAAATGGCAACCCACTCCAGTATTTTTGCCAAGAA